TCTGGCTTTTCTGGAAAGAACGAGCAGGTTGTAAATTGTTTGCAGTCAGCATTGCTCAAGTGAAATGTAAATTTTATTGTAGTTCTTCCCCTATGAAAAGACAGGGAGCAGGTGTTTACCGTGTGGTGGTGGCTTAAAGGGAACAGAAGACACAACTCCTTGCTTGTAGTGTTTTGTCAATATGTGAACAATCATCAATTGTGACAACATGAATTCTTCTCCAATATCACCTTCAAGCAATTCGACACGTAGGGTATCAGTTAGCAGTACTGTGTAAGAATACAGGGCTTACATACAGGACATTGCACAAGGTGTGCTCCCTTAAGTGTTGATACAGGAATCCCTGTGGCCAAGATATCTGAGAAGAGGGAGCTGTCTTACTTCAGCTGCTATGTGGGGTGACCTTCAAAGCTCCACACTCTGGTTATAGACCTCTGTCCTTTCAAGGACCACCTGTCTGGAGCTTGAGCAATCCTTCTTTGACTGGATCCTATCTCTACCTTAAGATCAAACCTCTCCCTAACAAGCACAGTCTTTTCTTACCTTAAGACCTAGCTTTTCTCTCTAACAAGTGGGCTTTTGTCCCTACCTTAGGACCTAGCCTCTCCCTTAGCAAACAGGGCATTGTTCCTACCCTAAGGCCTAGCCTCTCCTTAACAAGTGGGGTCTTGCCCCAGCCTTAAGACCTAGCCTCTTTCTAACTGTCAGGGTTCTGTAACCATCTTAAGACCTAGCCTCTCCCTACTAGGCACAGTCCTGCTCTCATCCTAAGACTTTGTCTCTCCCTAACAAGCAGGGTCCTGTTCCCATCTTAAGACCTAGCCTCTACCTAACAAGCAGGGTCCTGTTCCTGCCCTAAGACCTAGTCCCTTCTTAACAAGCAGGGCCCTGTTCCTACCCTGAGACCTAGCCTCTCCCTAACAAGCAGGGTATTGTTCCTATCTTAAGACGTAGCCTCTCCTTAACAAGCATGGTCCTGTTCCTACCTTAAGACCTAGCCAGTTCCTGTCAAGCAGGGTCCTGTTCCTGCCCTAAGACCTAATCTCTTCCTGACAAGCAGGGCCCTGTTCCTACCCTGAGACCTAGCCTTTCCTTAGCAAGCGGGGTCTTGTTCCAACCTTAAGACCTACGCTCTCCCTAACAAGCAGGGTCTTGTTCCTTCCCTAAGACCTAGTCTCTTCCTGACAAGCAGGGCTCTGTTCCTGCCCTGAAACCTAGCCTCTCCCTATCAAGCAGGGCCTTGTTCCTATCTTAAGATGTAGCCTCTCCCTAACAAGCAGAGTCCTGTCCCTATTTTAAGAACAAGCGGGGTCTTGTTAGGGAGAGGCTAGGTCTTAAGGTAGGAACAGGACCCCGCTTGTCAAGGATCAGGCTAGGTCTTAAGATAGGAACAAGACTCTGCTTGCTAGGGAGAATCTAAGTCTTAGGGTAGGAACAGGACCCTGCTTGTTAGGAAGAGACTAGGTCTTAGGGAAGGAACAGGACCCTGCTTGTTAGGAAGAGACTAGGTCTTAGGGAAGGAACAGGACCCTGCTTGTTAGGAAGAGACTAGGTCTTAAGGTAGAGAGGGGACTCTGCTTGTTAGGGAAAGGCTAGGTCTTGGTTAGGAACAGGAACGTGATTGTCAGGAAGAGGCTAGGTCTTAAGTTAGAGATGGGACCTTGTTTGTCAGGAATTACTTAAGGACCTAGCCTCTTCCTAACATGTGGGGCCTTGTTCCTACTTTAAGCCCTAGCCTCTCCCTAACATGTGGGGCATTGTTCCTACATTAAGACCTAGCCTCTCCCTAACATGTGGGACCATGTTCCTACTTCAAGACCTAGCCTCTCCCTAACATGTGGGACCATGTTCCTACTTCAAGACCTAGCCTCTTCCTAACATGTGGGACCCTGTTCCTACTTTAGGAACTTTCCTCTCCCTAACATGTGAGGCCCTGTTCCTACTTTAGGAGTTAGCCTCTCCCTAACATGTAGGGCCCTGTTCCTACTTTAAGACCTAGCCTCTCTCTAACATGTGGGGCCCTGTTCCTACTTTAAGACCTAGCCTCTCCCTAACATGTGGGACCCTGTTCCTACATTAAGACCTAGCCCAGTGATGGCGAACCCGTGGCACGCGTGCCACAGCCGGCACGCCGAGCCTTATCTGTGGGCACGCCAGGAGAATCCAGCGGCGCGCTGTCTTCCCGGCTGTAGTGTGCGTGACAGCCGGGTCCCAAGTGCGCATGCACAAGAAGTGGTGCTCTTTGTGAATGGTAAGGCGGTACCTGGGACACATGACAGATCCCAGAAGCCGCCGGACCAATCACAAAGCGCAGCGCTTCTCGCGCATGCGCACTGGGCATCCGGCTGTCCGACGAGCGCCCACACTACAGAAGCCGGGAAGACAGCGCGCGGCTGGATAAAGGAACAGGTAAGATAAAAAAAAAACTCTGCGGAAGTAAGAGCAGGTACCTGTCAAATTCAGGTACCCGCTCCCCCTCCCTCCCCAAAGGTCAGCAGTCATCTCTGTACTGTCCGCAGTCTCTGGTCATCCCTGTGCTGTCCGCAGTCTCTGGTCATCCCTGTGCTGTCCGCAGTCTCTGGTCATCCCTGTGCTGTCCGCAGTCTCTGGTCATCCCTGTGCTGTCCGCAGTCTCTGGTCATCCCTGTGCTGTCCGCAGTCTCTGGTCATCCCTGTACTGTGTCCGCAGTCTCTGGTCATCATCCCTGTACTGTCCGCAGTCTCTGGTCATCTCCTGTACTGTCCGCAGTCTCTGGTCATCCCTGTGCTGTCCGCAGTCTCTGGTCATCCCTGTACTGTGTCCGCAGTCTCTGGTCATCCTTGTGCTGTCCGCAGTCTCTGGTCATCTCCTGTACTGTGTCCGCAGTCTCTGGTCATCCCTGTACTGTGTCCGCAGTCTCTGGTCATCTCCTGTACTGTGTCCGCAGTCTCTGGTCATCCCTGTACTGTGTCCGCAGTCTCTGGTCATCCCTGTACTGTGTCCGCAGTCTCTGGTCATCCCTGTACTGTGTCCGCAGTCTCTGGTCATCCCTGTACTGTGTCCGCAGTCTCTGGTCATCCCTGTACTGTCCGCAGTCACTGGTCATCCCTGTACTATGTCCGCAGTCTGTGGTCATCCCTGTACTGTCCGCAGTCTCTGGTCATCTCCTGTACTTTCCGCAGTCTCTGGTCATCCCTGTACTGTCCACAGTCACTGGTCATCCCTGTACTGTGTCCGCAGTCTCTGGTCATCTCCTGTACTGTCCGCAGTCTCTGGTCATCCCTGTACTGTGTCCGCAGTCTCTGGTCATCTCCTGTACTGTTCGCAGTCTCTGGTCATCCCTGTACTGTGTCCGCAGTCTCTGGTCATCTCCTGTACTGTTCGCAGTCTCTGGTCATCTCCTGTACTGTGTCCGCAGTCTCTGGTCATCTCTGTACTGTGTCGCAGTCTCTGGTCATCTCCTGTACTGTTCGCAGTCTCTGGTCATCTCCTGTACTGTGTCCGCAGTCTCTGGTCATCTCCTGTACTGTGTCCGCAGTCTCTGGTCATCTCCTGTACTGTCCGCAGTCTCTGGTCATCTCCTGTACTGTCCGCAGTCTCTGGTCATCCCTGTACTGTGTCCGCAGTCTCTGGTCATCCCTGTACTGTGTCCGCAGTCTCTGGTCATCTCCTGTACTGTGTCCGCAGTCTCTGGTCATCCCTGTACTGTCCGCAGTCTCTGGTCATCTCCTGTACTGTGTCCGCAGTCTCTGGTCATCCCTGTACTGTGTCCGCAGTCTCTGGTCATCCCTGTACTGTGTCCGCAGTCTCTGGTCATCCCTGTACTGTGTCCGCAGTCTCTGGTCATCCCTGTACTGTGTCCGCAGTCTCTGGTCATCCCTGTACTGTCCGCAGTCTCTGGTCATCCCTGTACTGTGTCTGCAGTCTCTGGTCATCCCTGTACTGTGTCCGCAGTCTCTGGTCATCCCTGTACTGTCCGCAGTCTCTGGTCATCCCTGTACTGTCCGCAGTCTCTGGTCATCCCTGTACTGTGTCCGCAGTCTCTGGTCATCCCTGTACTGTGTCCGCAGTCTCTGGTCATCCCTGTACTGTTAATTAGTTTGCACTACTGTACGAGTTGTTTTTTCTAAACCAAAAGCTCGATATTCAGGTTTCATTGCAGTGTTGGCACTTTGAAAGAAATAAGTTGGTTTTGGGTTGCAGTTTGGGCACTCGGGCTCAAAAAGGTTCGCCATCACTGACCTAGCCTCTCCCTAACATGTGGGACCCTGTTCCTACATTAAGACCTAGCCTCCCCCTAACATGTGTTGCCCTGTTCCTACTTCAAGACCTAGCCTCTCCCTAACATGTTGGGTGCTGTTCCTACTTTAAGACCTAGCCTCACCCTAACATGTGGGACCCTGTTCCTACTTTAAGACCTAACCTTTCCCTAACATGTGGGACCCTGTTCCTACTTTAAGACCAAGCCTCTCCCTAACATGTGGGGCCTGGTCCTACTTTAAGACCTACCCTCTCCCTAACAAATAGGACCCTCCTACTGGCTCATTGTGCTGCTTCTCCCTGTCCCAGTTTGAGCTCTGCTGTACACGCACTGCAAGAGGCTGAAACCAAGTCAAACTCAGGTAGTACACTGCTTGCATTTAAAAAAAAATATACATTTGTGTATTAATGATTATCTTTTATATCTGCCTGCCAGTTTTTTCTGAAGGGGAATTGGGGGATTGCTGCACCTACGTCTGCTCCTGCAGATCTGTCCAATCGTACAACTGTACAATTCCCAACGTGGATTAGAAACGGGCTGAAATTGTTGGCTTGCAGTCTTCCTGGCTGGGGATGTACTCAGGATATTTATGGTAAGATGCGGCTGACATTTTCTTGCATTATTTAAGCTTCCTTCTCGTTATTCCACGCTTATGACCTTTTTTTATGATCTCAATCACTATAAATACCCCTAGAACAGCGCATCGCTCCACGCCGTGTCAGCCTGTGCCTTTGTACTGTGACATAGTTGGGTGGAAGCTGTGGTATATTTGGCCGGCAGTTTGTTGGACACGGCATTAGCGGTTGTCATGGTGACCCGCACTTATCACATTTTCCGCAGATACCATCTAATTTACTTTCTGAAAATTCCAAGTGCTGAATTTGTTCGGATTCAATGCCTGGCGCACTGAGACTTATCTGCATGTGATGACTCATATACTCAGCATATCTGGATGAAAATCTGCCACACTTGCTGCTTGGAATCTCAACTTCACACAGAACCAATTAAAATGATAGTTATTAACAAAAAGCTGACATGGGGAATGCTGAGTGAGGAGTGCGGCTGGATGCTGGGGAAAAAGAGAATGCTGGTTCCATCTAGTGGTACATTCTATCAACTGCAGCCTGACACCACTGCAATTTATTATTCGGTACAATAGAGTCATACATCGATTAGTAGACATGCGAAAAATGAAAACATTTGTTTTGTTTCATTTCGTTACTTGACTAATTTTGTTTAGTTCGATTAGTTAAATTAGTTTAATTCGTTTTTCGGAAATAATTTTGTTTATTCGAATTTGTCTGAATTCTGAATTTCAAACGGAGTCGAAAAACAATTCTAACGGATTTGAAAATAATTCTAACGTTACAATCCATAATCCACAGTCCATGTGTGTTTTTGATGGTGTATGGGCTATATGAAGAGTTGACCATATTTGGAAGTTCTATTTCAGCTAAGTTTTCAGTGCCTTTGTTGATCACTACTCACATAGTTACATAGTTAGTCTGGCTGAAAAAACACAAAAGTTCAACCATTAAAAAAGAAAAAAAAAAGTTATCCTATACCCACACACGTCACCATAGCACAGCTCCCAATTTTTTGTAAAGTATTTTAGTCTATTCTAATCTATTCTATTCTTTTCAATTATTTTTATATTCTGTTCTAATGTATTCTGTTCAAATTCAGATTCATTTTATTCAAAATTTGAATTTTAATTACTTCAAGTCCAGACACTTTCACCCCCTTCCTGTCCGTCCAGGCCAATTTTCAGCTTTCAGTGCTATCACACTTTGAATGACAATTGCGCAGTCATGCAACACTGTACCCATAGGAATTTTTTAGCATTTTTTTGAGACAGATAAAACTTTATTTTGGTGGTATTTATTCACCACTTGGATTTTTATTTTTTTGCTATATAAATGAAAAAGTGCAAACATTTTGAAAAAAAAAGTTTTTTTCTTTTAAATTTTGCAAATAAATAATCTTTCTTTATAAATCTTGGCCTAAATGTATTCAGCTATCTTTTAAGTAAAAAAAAATAACCCAAATTAGTTTATAACCAAAAATTATAATTTTTCAAAACATTTTTTTAAATTTTTATTTAATTTTTTTTATTATTATTTATGTTTTTTTTTTTTAAACATACAGTCACCCTAGCAGTACAGTGTCTCCATAGTGACACTACTACTTGTGGGGGGTGATGAAGATTTTTTTAATACACTGATTGCTTTTACACCCATAAAGGCTGTAAAAGCAATCATTTATCCTTTTCTCTGGCTGCATTCTTGTAGCCATTGAGAAATACTGTGAGAGCTGTGATTGGTCACAGCTTGTCACATGGTACAAGGCTGTTGTGAATAGCCTTGTACCATGTGACCTCTGTGATCCTTCACAGATTTCACTAGTAGTAAGCAATGATGTCATAAGTGACATCTTGCTTACTACTATTCATGTGATCGGGACCTCACACAGAGGTCCTGTACAGCGATCGGTGTTGCACTGTGTTCGGAGGACACAGCAGGCACCGTATTGTGGTGCCATGGGCTCCCAGGGAGCGCGTACAGGCAGGGAATGTGGGAGGACATTTATAAATGGCCACCCGCTCCTGCACTGCTCCCGTCCAACTGTTTAGGTACATGGGCCAGACAGGAAGTGGTTAAAAGGCATTTATAGTCTATTTTATTCTATTGTTTTTCTATACTATTCTATTCTATTCTTTGATTCTCTATTTTTAATGTTTTCTGTTCTTTTCTATTCTATTCTTTGATTTTCTATTCTATTCTAATTATTATTATTATTATTATTTTATTATAATACAGGATTTATATAGTACTAACAGTTTCCGCAGCACTTTACAACAAAAAAGGGCAGACAGTATAATTACAATAAAATTAATACAGGAGGATTCAGAGGGCCGTGCTCGTTAGAGCTTACAATCTAATCTATTCTATTCTATTATAATTGATTCTATTCCTTTATTTTCTGTTCTATTTTGCTCTGTTTTACTCTATTCTTTTCTATTTTATGCCTTGATTTTCTGTTCTAATCTTTTCTATTCTTTTCTAATTGATTCTATTATTTTCTATTCTATTCTAATCTTTTCTATTGGTTTTTTTATTATTATTATTATTACTACGAGTTTATATAGCGCCAAAGGGTTTGCTCAGCGCTGTACAATAGGGGGGACAATACATGGCACAGTACAACAACAACAACAAACAATGTACGAGGGGTAAGAGGGCCCTACTCTTACGAGCTTACAATCTAGGAGGGAGGGGGTAAAGGTACAGTAGGAAGTGGCTGAGGGGGATGAAGTGGTGGGAGGAATGAGGGAGGATGGCCGTTAGGTGAGGGTGGGGTAGGCTTCCCTGAAGAGATGGGTTTTGAGGGAGCGCCTGAATGTGAATAGGGAAGGCGACAGTCTGATGGATTGGGGCAGTGAGTTCCAGAGGATGGGGGAGGACCTGGAGAAGTCCTGCAGTCGTGCATGGGAGGAGGAGACCAGGGAGCAGGATAGAAGGAGGTCCTGTGAGGAGTGAAGGGTACGGGTAGGGTGGTACTTGGTGATCAGGTTGGTGAGGTAGTCAGGGGCAGTGTTGTGAACGGCTTTGTAGGTCAGGGTTAGGAGTTTAAATTTGATGCGTTGGGCAATCGGGAGCCAGTGGAGGGAGAGGCAGAGGGGGGTGGCAGAGGTGGAGCGGGTGGTGAGGTGGATGAGTCTGGCAGCTGAGTTCAGGATGGTCTGGAGCGGGGAGAGCCTGCACTTGGGTAGGCCAGTGAGGAGGGAGTTGCAGTAGTCAAGGCGTGAGATGATGAGGGAGTGTACTAAAAGTTTGGTGGTGTCTGGGGTGAGGAGGGAGCGTATCTTGGCAATGTTGCGAAGATGGAGCCTGCATGTGTTTGTGAGTGATTTGACATGCGGTTGGAGGGAGAGGTTCGCGTCAAGAATGACGCCAAGGACTTTGGCTTGCGGGGCGGGAGTGATAGTGGAGTTGTTGGTGATGATGGATAAGATGGGGGGGGGGGGGGGGGGGGGTGTTGGCAGGGGGAAAGATGAGGAGCTCGGTTTTGGAGAGGTTTATTTTCTATTCTATTTTGCTCCATTATTTTCTACTGCATTCTGTCCTATTCTTTTATTATCTATTCTGTTCTTTTTTCCTATATTCTTTTATTTTCTATTCTATTCTTTTCTATTCCTGCTCTATTTTATTCTATTGTTTTTAGATTCAAATTGGTTTTCAAATTTGTTTTCGAATGTGTTTTCAAATTCAAATCAATTCTAAATTTCGACTTAATTTCGCTTTGTTATTTCAGATTTGTTTAAATTCGTTACTATTGTAATTTGGGTACATCAGAATATCTGAATAATGGAAAATTCATCTGAATTTCGATTCGGAATGAAACGAACTGCACATGTCTATCAATTAGCCATAGCTTTATGATGACCGTACTAAAGAGAAGGTCCCTCTTTGGCCGCCAAAACAGCCCCTTTTGCCACCAAAACAGTCCTGACCCTTCCCGGCATGTACATCACTAGACCTCTGAAGGTATGCTGTGGTATCTGGCACCAAGCCATCAGTAGCAGATCCTTTAGGTCCTGTAAACTGTGAGGTGGGACCTCCATGGATTAGACTTGTTTTACCAGCACATCCCTTAGATGTTTGATTGGAATATAATCTGGAGAATTTGAAGGCCAAGTCAACACCTCAAACTCTTTGTTGTGTTCCTCAAACCATTCTTGAACCATTTTTGCAGCATGGCATGGCGCAACACCCTGCTGAAAAAGGCCACTGCCATCAGGGAATACCGTTTCCATGATGGGATGGACTTGGTCAGCACTCGGTATCGGCTCGGTATCAAGCTATTAGCTACTACAAGCTTCCTAGCTTGAAAAAGGAGCATAGCACATGTCTGTTTCGGACTTTGCGCATGCTCAAAAACACATTGCTACTCCTTGTGTGACGGCACAACACTGAACGCCCGCGATCCATGGTGCATTCTATCTCTGGCTTCCTGGGATAGAGGTGCCCGCCAGCTTTCCTGTTCCACGCCAATTGACATCTGATGTGAACCAGCACTGATCTGGACATCCAGACAATCCTGTCACCCACCCATTATATGAGCCTGTATCTTGCTCTCAAAATGCGAGTGGCCTAACCTCCGCTTTATCATTATTATACTGTTGACAAGTCTACACTTAGAGGCGCTGTGTCTTCTTCTTGTCTTTGCTTGGTTCTAGAGTTGGCTTCTCCTTTCAACACAGCATGCCCAGTGGATGGACTTTTTTCTACTTTTTTACTACTTTTACTACTGTTACTGGACTTTCTCGATATGACACCCTGAATAGGTTATATATATTTTTAAGTATGTTCTATGCACCAATATATCTTGTATATATTGTGACAGTGTGGCAATCTGAAATAATAATAATATAAAAAGGATATTTCACCTGGGATTCTCAACAAGGCAGGTTGAGGGGCTCCAGGGTACTTGTTTAATGCAGAGGAAAGTGGCTTTTCACTTTCCTCATTTGTTTGTAAAGTCCATTTTGGGGCCTGGAGCCTGGAGATTTCAAAGTGATTTGGGAGGGATGAAATCTCCAATCCTGGGACCAGGTTTAGGGAATGGCCAGGAGACTGATTGGTCAGGTGTGTGTGGCTCTCTTCTAGAGTCAGGACCAGGGTTCTGGGCTCCACCATCCTGAGGAGTCCCTGTGGGTGCAAGGGAGCAGCCACAAGTGTGTATGGTGGCACAGTATAGTCTGAGAGCAGACAGAACCCAAGCCTGTGGGCTGGAGAAGCAGGAGTGCTGAGAAAGGGTGCTAACCCAGGTACAGTGGGTGCACATGAATGGTCAAGAGGACCGAGGCATGAAGCCTGAGCAGCGGTGCTGCTAAAGAGAGCCAGGAGGCTGAATTAATGTTTTTGTTTGCATTGATGGTGGATACCCCTGTGTAGGAAACCTATGTTGTATGGAAGTTTCTTTTAAATAAAATTGGGCAAAAATGACCTTTAAAAAAGAAGCAAGTTAGTGACTGCGTGCCTAAAAAGCTCTACCCTTGGTGCTAGTTCCCACTATTGTTGTATATATAATATCATTTTTAGTTTTTGATTGAGTTAGAACCCTTGTTATGTTTTTATTGCTATCCGAGACTGCTACAGATTTCCCCCATGTGATGTCATAGTGACAACGGTTTTACTGAACAGCAAGTGAGAGGAAAATCTGTTACTGGGACAGAGACAGAAATAAAAGCTCACTGAGGTTCTAGCCTTCCCGACTCTACAAAGAACATTTCTGTTGGTGTTGCTTTTGCAGATATTTTTTTCTTACCTGCTGTATGGATAAACGATTGTCACAAGGACATAAAGTGAGGAGAAATCACCCTATTGGAGCCCTGTGTAGAAGTAAAAAACAGAGAGGTCCCAATTCTAAAACGGCTGGAAATACACTTTAAAGTGTAACTAAACCCAGGACCCTGCATTCACTATATCTGGTCTCCCACAATACACACAACATGGAAGTGCATTTTTTTTATTAAATATAAACTGCTAAATACCTTTTCTCCTCAGCAGTTAGAGCAGTCAGTGACCAGCAGAGCACTGGTTAAAGCTTGTAGGAGGAGTTCACATTTTGCTCTAGGAGGGTGCAGAACCCCTGACCTCTGTCTGGACAGTGCTGATTGGCCCTGTGCTGATCACATGCACTCTCCAAAGAAAAAAACAAAAACCTCTCTATCGATATACACCATCTGAGCATGTGCAGAGTGACTCCACATGATAAGTCTTTTCAGGAAATAAGAGAGGGACACTGGAAGAAGGGGAGGATCAGAGAAGTCAGGATCAAACAGCCTTTTTACACAATGCAGAGGATTAACCCCTTAGGTTCCACAGTGAGTATAGCAAGCATGCTTTACTGCATATACAGACTGATTTTACTGTCGTGGGTTTAGTAACACTTTAAAGCCAATCTACAGCTAAAAGCCAAAACGTTTTTAGAATGTAGAAGAGTTAGGACCTTTGTGTCTCTACAGTATTTGGAATATTTCTATTTGGCAGATGTAAGGTAGAACAGGAAGTGAGTGAAGTTGTCTCCAATAAGGAATAAAAACTCATTTACCAGTACAGCAAGAAAAGATTTCATTGTTATCTATGTCCTCATTAGGGAAATTTTCCTCCGTTTCCTGTCTAGGTGAAAGGTTAGCTAGTTATCTGACAGCAAGCAACATCTCAAATGATAAGTTCCCTGCAGATGTATTTTTTTTTTGTATTGCGGTAAGCAGAAGATCCATTATTGCACATTTATTAAAAAGATAGTGATTCTCAATAACATTGCCTTGAGGAGCCCCAGATATGGAGCCTCAGCAATGCCCGGAGCTCAGAAGTCTGTATCTGGAATCACTGATCCTTGGATCCAGAGGAAGGTGAAGAAATCCCCTGAAGATATTTCAGCCAATTATTTCTCAAAAGGTCTAAAAATTCCATCCTGACTTTCTATACGGTAGTCCGTATCTCCCCTGGATTCTGCATCTTTACCTTTGAAAAATGTTCTGTTCTCTTCATTTTCTCTCCTGCCTTTCCTTTTTTGATTCTC